CAACTGGCATCAGTAAGCTAACAGGATACAGCAATTCAGGATTAGAAGCAGAATGAACAACTCACGTGAAGAAGTCCAGATAAAAAAAGACAAGAACTGATAAGGCTAGCAAAAACTAGAAATAAGGTTGTAGTTACAAGAATAGAGAAGAGAAAATATGAATTTCTTTTCTTTTAAAGTAAGCTAAGGCAGCAGCAGAGGGAAAAAGACTTACAGATACTTCAGACTTGGATAACTGGAGGGAGAAGGGTGAATACACTCAGGTGGCATGAAGGTGGAAAGTTTTTCAGAGGAAGATGAATTAATTTTTGGTGTATGTTAAATTTGAGCTACTTTGAGGCACCAACTTAGAGATGCCTGAAGACATGTCTTGAAAATTCATTTGGTACTGAACTTGGGTTTCACCAAGTAACAAATTTGTAAGAATTTACACATATGAAGTTCGAGAGGCAGAAAATGAGAGAAAGACATTACAGAAGTTACAAGAAGTTCTAAAAAGTGATCAAACATGAGGAGGCAAAACATTCCAGATGGTAATAAATGCAAGATCACAGAGGACCATTGACAGAAAAGTAAGGAATGAGGATAGTGTGAACCGCTCAAGAGAAAATAAGCAAATTACACTCGACTCTGTGCCGGAGACTGCTCTGGCTAGCACATTCATGAAGAAAGTCAATAATATTTAGGGCCTATGAAGAAATGTACCTCAAGACTGCAAAGACAGAAGGAGAAAAACATACTAATTTCTCATGAATCTGAGCAAAATGATGGAGAACTGGACAGAAAACATAGTTTGCTGGTTTTTTTCTTACTGTCTTTATAGACTATGGCTAAAGTCCAAGTCAAGAAAAAGTATAAAATTAAAGACAAAAAGGCATAGATAGCCAATGGAGCAAAAGTCCAGTAGGTTATCCACACCTAACATCTGGCTCTCAGCAAGTTTACCCTTTAGATTAAGCTCAATTGTAACATTTTCCAGGCATGCTTTCCTGACACAAGCTCCTACAAACCAGGTCAACCTAGGTCCTCACACTGTATCTCTTCCATCTAATACTGTATAAATAGGGTATGTTTTTAGTCTTTAGTAGTTTTACTATTTTGAATTACAAAATTAAAATATACTTACTGTTTAAAAACAAGATGAAAAAATTGTTTAAGTGGACTATTTAGACTCCTTCTTGAAGATTACTATTTAGATATTGGCTTCCTTAGTATCTTCCCCAGAAGATAGGTAAGTATTCATTAGGACCAAACTGAATACTTCAAATAAATGGCTGCTAAGTTGAAGAAATATATTCTTTAAGAAATATATTCTCTCATCCTAGGTGCCTATGAAATAATTTCTAACCACATAGTCAATTTTCTCAACCATGTAATCCACCAAAATTTTAACAGATTCATTGGATTTGATGTATACATTTATCTTAGCTTTCTCCCCAGACCTTACTGAGGTCAAAAATGAGCAAAACAGATTTTTTAAAGCCATACAGGAAAAGAAAATAAAAGACAATACCAGTAATAGCAGAGACATTCCAACAAGGGTATGGAAAGACAGAGAGCAGATAGACAAGCACTTGCTACCCAGAACAAAAGAAAGATAAATGCAAGTCACTGTTAGGAAAGAATAAAGGCACACTGGTAAGACCCTCAGAAACTGAAGACCCTGTAGGAGGGGCTGTTTTCAACCAAAGATGTTGAAAACTTGACATGTGTAAATGGAAGACTTACACTCCTAACTCCCCTCTCTCGTTCTCAGCAGTTAAATTAGTGGGCCTCTTTCACCACGGCATAGAATAAACCAGGGAGGACCCAGACCCAGGGGCAGCAAGGACTGAAAACAAAGGGAATAAAATTGTACACAATCAACTGTGAGCTCAGTGTCAACAAGCCCATCACAGACCAGAGCTTCGGCTTTCAGAGACTAAAGCGTGGGTTTGTGGGTAATTTTAGAAATGATGTACAGTTATCTGACATCTGCAGAGTTAAGTCCCTAACAAAAGGGCCAACTGACCACTATGCTATAATTAAGCCCACTACACAAAGCTGCTCATTGGCTTTACAGGGCTCCACTTTTAAACAAGAAAAGATGGGCCAAAAGAACACAGGCCAAAACAAAACTCTAACCAAAACTCCTAGAAAGCAGATAAAAAATGTTAAATTCTTTTGTTCTTGCATTTTTTTCCTACCTTGAGAGAAGATCTCACATTGGAGTCCTGACTTGCCTTGAACTCAAGAAAATTTTCTTGTCTCTACCTCCCAAATGCTTGAAAAAGGTGTGAGTCATCACACCCAACTGAAGCTAAATATGACTAATAATCTTAGAAAAATAAAATATGATAAGACCATGTAAAGCCAAAAGTGAAAATGAAGTGTTACCTGTTTGCTTTTACTTATTAGTCTTTAATTCTTATTGGGGGCGCATAGCACGCATGGCACTCATGTGGCAGACAAAGGACAACTTCCAGGAGTTGATTCGCTCCTTCTACTCTAAGTTGCAGAAATTGAACTTAGTCGTTAGGTTTTCACAGCAAGTGCCCTTACCTAATGAGCCATCTCCCTTGTCCATTTGTTTGCTTTCAGGAAGAAAGCTATCTGAGTGAAGAAGAGCTTACCAATGAAAAGTAAAGCCATGAGCTCCAGGGAACAAGGTGAAGGCAAGAAAATTCACAATGTGCTAATGAAGACGCTAGTCACCACTCTGAGGCAGGCTAGCAAGCAAAGGTATGGGTAAATGATGACAGAGACTCTGCAGAAGAAGTATCTTCATGGCCAAAGGGTGACTTGGTAGGTGGATCACATTAACACAGAACTCGTCAAGCTCAGTAACTAATTGATGAATAATAAATAGGAAGTAAATCAAAGAAAAAAGTAGGGGTTTGAATGTGAGTATCTCTCTTAGGCTTGCATTTAAACACTTCATTCCCACCTGATAGAGCTACTTGGAAAGGCTGTGGAACCCTTCTGAGGACATGGTTCACTGGGGTGGGTCCTGAGGCTTTATACTATGGCCTCACTTCTTTTTTACTCTCTGCTTCCTGAGTGCAGATGCAATCATCCACCTTCCTGCTTTTATGTAACATATGCATTTAAGATACAATGCAATTCAGAACAAAATACCCAAAAAATAGAGAATTTGGGGCTGGCAAGATGGCTCAGTGGGTAAAGGTGCCTGCTGCCAAACCTGGCAACCTGAGTTCAATCTCTGGGATCCACTTTGTATAGAACCAACTATTGTAGGTTGTCCTCTGACATCTATACCCATGTCATGGACACACATGTGCCCCACCCCATCCACATTCATTAAGTAAAAGAAAAAATGAAATAAATATGGAATTTGAACCTTGGAAAGAAGTTCCTCAGAATGAGATAAAAAAAAATGTCTGCTGTGGAATATTACTTTAACTATGTAAAGATGTGTTACATTTGTTTTTGCTACATTTGTTTCACTATGTAAAGAAGTGTTGCAGTTTCACCTGCCTAAGGCACCTGATTGGTCTAATAAAAAGATGAATGGCCAATAGCAGTAGAGGGACAGGTGGTGCTGGCAGGAAGAGAACGTAAGTAGGAGGACTCACAGAGATCAGTCTGCCTCTGCCTCCCAAGTGCTGGGAATAAAGGCAGTGCAAGTCCATTCCCTATGGAGGGATACTATTGCAGCACAAATATAAGAAAGAGGGCCTAGACCCTCCCCCAAATGATGTGACGGACTTTTATTGCCCCCCCCCCCCGTGGAGGGCCTCACTATACTTGGGGAGTGGGTGGGAGGTGGATTGAGGGGTGTTGGTGGGAAGCATTGGAGGATGGGAGGGTGAGGGAATGGGAGGGTTGATATGTAAAATAAGATTGTTTCTAAAATAAAAAAAAATGGAAAAAAAGAGGAGGAGGAATCTAGGCTCGAGAAAGAGAAAAGAGAGAGACAGAGAAAGAGAGGGAGATGCCCGGGACTAGCCAGCCAAGCAGCTACCAGCAGACAGTCAAGAAGTAGGACATACAAAAGAAATGTATCACTGAGGCAAAATGTAGATCAAGAGAAACATTTAATTTGTGAGAATTAGTGCAACAAGCATAAGATAAAGCCAAGCATTTGTAACTGATAGTAAGTCTCCCTGTCTTGATTTGGGAGCTGGCTGGCAGTTGGAGAAAGCCTGCTACAAATGTCTATCAGGGATGGAACTAATTCAAGTACAAGCTCTGCTGCTTAATGACAACGAAATCCGGGATAAATCACTTGATCCCCATGCTTCAATCTCTTCATCTCTAAACCGAGAATAGTAATGTTATCTACCATGTGAGGCTTTAGACTGATCAAGTAATAATCTACACAAAAGAGTTTAGTACAATGTCCAATGCAAAAAATGTTCAGTAAGTATCAGCTATTTTATATTTGAACAATGTTATGGCTCACCAATCAAAATGATAGCAATCCACAATTGCTAATAGGTATAGTATAGCCCAGTCCCCTAAAATTACTATAAACCAAACATCTAGCATAGCTGTACTATTAATGGATGTCTGTAATATTTAAAAAGAATGAATATCTAATATTACATAAAACAAATCCTAGATAAACCAAAGATTTTCAGATATAAGAAAATAAAAAATAGAAAAACTGGAATATGAAATTCATTCTTTTAAATTTTCTTCCTCATTCTTTGTATTGGTTTCCTTTACTGCTAAGTAAAATACTTTTTAAAATTCCTTGGTAAATTCTAGTTCTGAAAAATCTGTCTCTTTCATATAGACAAATAATAACCATCTTCACTAAACAAATTTAGTTTGAATACAACTTTTGGTTTCCACACCCCCCAAAAAAATAGAAAGGCAGAAATTTAGAGAGGAAGGTTATGAAGTTATGATTTATTCATTTTGCTATTTTATCTCTTTACCTAAGCTTTGCTTGGTTGTTTGGTGATTTCAATATTACCTTCATCCCTACCTCTAATTCTATAAACTTTTAAAGATATATTAAGATCAAATATTTATAATTTATAAATTATTACCTTGGATTTGGTGTCTCTCCAAGAATTTCATCTAACTTGTCAATGAAACTGATAAAATCAGACAGCCCTTTTGCATGTGCCCGTAAGGGATCTGATGGAGATGGTGCATATCCTTTCCCTCCAAGCTCTAATGTTCTAATAAATGATGTGGCCATCTGTGAATGAAAATGGATGACTTAGTAACTTTTAATGGTTTTGAAGGTTAAACTATGATACAGTTAATGAACCTGGGTACATTTGTATAATCCTAGGTATACAGATACACTGAAGCACATTTTATGGATCATGTCACATTTTGAGGAGCAAATAATCACAGGAGTAAGTGTCATGTGGATGTCATGCTAGACAGACAGGGTGAAACCAACAGCAACTAGCTGCAGGTGAAGACTGAGATGCTAAGTCACATGGCAGAGTAAGGATGAAAAAGTACAGCTGTATCCTTAAGAGCAGGCCACTGACCATACACTATATACTTTGTTTACGAATATAGTTTCATGTATATGGATAATTGGCTACTGAAATCATTACATAGAAAAAAATTCTTTTTCAGTGTCAACTGCTCTATTTTAAATGGGTCCAAACCTTTCCTTTCCATTTGCTATGAATGAGATTTGTACTAGATAGTCACTAGATTCCAACAAGCTTTCACATTCCAGCGCAAGCAGTTCAAAGATCTATCTTTACACTGAAAAAGATACACATTTGATAGCTGTACTCGAGAACATCTCATCAAAAAGATAACAGGTTCTAAAAACACTATTGCCCAAACTATCCTAAGGCAGGCACATATGAAATGCCAATAATTTGTACGCAAGTTCCATGGTCAAATAGCTTGAGGTACAACAGATGAAGTGACAAGGTTTACTGTTTATAAGACATAAGAAAGTTACTTCATTGAAGGACTCACAGCTCTTGATATGCAGATATGCACTGTGTAAACAAGCAACATGTATGCTATGTCTGAAGATTTTGCCCTTGGAAACACTTATTCAAGAAGAGGTACAGTAATACATGTTTATAACCCCAGCACTTGTGAATACGAGGCCAGAGGATTAAGAATCAATGGGCAACTTGGGCCACATAGCAAAGAAAAGAAAGGAAAGGAAGGAGACAATAAGAGGAAAGGAGAGGGAAATTTACGTTTATTTATTAGGACTAACAGTCTATAGAATATATTTATGTAGAAAATACTGCTTAAGAGAAATTCTCCCTTGCTAAACTTGGAAGACACAGGAAAAAAATAAAAAGCAATGGTTTTTCAAATACAGAGATAAAACATAGATTAACTACTTAAAAATTGTTTTGTTATAATTAAAGAAATCTACACTAAAGTTCACTGCTCAGGGAGTTGTAAACAACCCTGAAAATGTAAGCATCCATACCAAAAACATAGACAGTTGCTTCTCTCGAGCAGCATGCTTCAAGTCGGTGAAGGCCTCTCTCCCCAGTCCTCGATCAGGGATGTTGAGAACATGAGCTAAAGCCAGGTCATTCTTGGAATTCACTAGCAGGCCCAAATATGAAAAGAAAATTTTCTTTGCCAATAGCCGCATCTGTACAATAAAATATTCCATTATTTTCGTTACTTCAGTTGTTCTAAGCCTCCTTTCTATAAAATACATAGAATCATGTAATCACAATACTACAACCCATTCTTTAGGAAAAAAGAATAGCCAATTTAACTGGGAACAAGTTGGATCACCAACATATTCCTTCTTACAGAAATTAACTTAAAAACAATACCATGCTAAGCATGGTGATTATATAAAACATATAAAGTTAGAAAGGAAAAGGAGGGATGGGGTAGGGAAGGAATTTGATGAGAAGGGATAGAAGACAGACTTAATCAAAGCATATTACATGCATACACACACACACATTCAAAGCCCAACTTTAGCTTCCATAACTACAAATTGCTCTTTAAAGTTACAAATCCCATTTCTCTGATGCTTGCTGCTGGGCAAACACTGGGGAAAGTATCTTGGAGTCCTCACAGATGGAGGGCTTCTGTAAACTCTGCCTGCAGCTGGACCTGTATCCCTCTCATTATGGTCAGATTACATGGCAGTTATGGCTTCTGTGCTCTTGCATGTGCAAGTTAGTTTTTAGAAGGCTCCTTGGAAAAGCAGTCCATAAATACAGTTATGACATCCAGAAGCAAGAATGTAAATTGAAAAAAATCCACAAGACTACAGCTTTAGCAAGGCACCAAAAATGAGAATACTATTCTGTCTACTTAATACATCAGTTCTATCCATATCACAAAGTACTGGGAGCTGGACAGTTTCATTTATCTTCTTGACCACTTAACGCTATTTTATTCTCCTTTCATTCTTCCTGAGATGCAAATATCCAACCTTAATTTTAAGTTGGTTTTCTAAATGGAAAAAAAAAACTGACTTGATTTCCTTGCTAAAAACTTTCCTTGCTAACACATAAATGCTTGTGTATAATGACTAATGACTGGACTAGAATATACTGATAGTTTTTTATTTCCTTAATGGCCTGGCAAGGGAATATCCACTTTGTTACCTCAGAATTCCTCAAGGGGGGGATGAGGGAATAGGGTAAAATAAAATAAGAAAATGAGAAGTATTTCTTAAATTCATCTTACAGTTCCATGAGAAGATTTTGATGCTCCATTAGTATCTGATAATCAGAATATGTCTCTGCAAGACTGCATCCCGCTTTAGAATTTTACATTTGCTCATTTCTAAATATGCCTGGTAAGTCAGGCACACACCTAAAAAGGTCCCTAGAAAGGAGACAAAGAACCCTGAAGAGGGAAGAAGATGCCAGCAAGGATGGGAACAGAACATGAGCAGGCCAAAACAGAGAAGGCACAGTCAGCTGAGGGTTCTGGAGATTACTTTTGGTGGCTGAACAGTATGAAAAGGTATTTTTTACATCAAGTTGTATAAAAAGCAGTCTGTTCTACTAGTGTTTTCTCACATTTTGCTTTATGCTATGTGCTAGCACACAGAATCCTTCACTGTTGTGGCAGAGGGAACATGTGTTCCTAACAGAATGTTGCCAAAGCTGATTGATGTGCAGAACGGCATCCCCTTCCTGCTAGAGCTAAGACTTTCTCTTGACTCTCACTTGGCACAAGTTCCTTGTGATGTGAGCTTATTCATTTTTGTGTCTCCTTCTCCCTTCCCCTATCAACAAAGAAATCCTTAAAAGCAGAGATCCATTAGGGCCTGGTTCCCTAAAACTGGTGTTCCTCCTTAGGACAGCAGGTCGTCCTTCTCCATACTGTCATCTTCAGAACAGTTGTTCTGCCATTTTCATTCACTTCCTGAAAGTCAGGGTCAGTCTGAAAAGGCGGGAAGCTTAATGTGGAACAACTGACCCTTGCTCAGCTGCCTGCTTGGGGTGTTAAATGAAGCCTTCACTGGACTTTATGGAAACTGTCTTTTTCACACAAAAAGGTTGAAAGCTGCATGCTGTTAATGCCCACCTGCGTTTTGCCTGAAATATCATGATTACAGAAAATATAGTAAGTAAAATACAGCTCAGCTTGGACCAAAATAGAAAAAGAAAATATAACTAATATAACTCAAGAAAGAAACTACCATTTTTAGTGTGTGTGTGTGTGTGTGTGTGTGTGTGTGTGTGTGTGTGTGCAATCACATGCACATGCGCTTGGGATGGAGTCCAGGATCTCAAATCCAGGGCCAGATATAGGTTAAGCACATGTTCTAACACTTAGCTACACCTCAAGTTACTCTCAAGTGTTTTTCAAATAAAGAAACCATATGGATACAGTGAAATCCCATAACTTTCTGAATGTTAAAATCCTTTGTTACAGCTATTCTTTTAAGATACTGGTTTATATCTTTAAGTCAAAATGATAAGAGCTTACATCTTTACACACACAAGACATTCCTCTTTTTTGAACGAACATGACAACAATTATTGTGTCCTCCTTACAGATGACTTAAGAGAGGAGAGAGACACTGGGCTATAGAGGTAGGTAGACTGCTTATCATCAAGCCTAAATTTGATCCCCAGATCACATGCTGGTAGAAGGGAGCCAACTTCTACAAGCTGTCCTCTGATATCCACAGGCATGTGTGGACGTGGGCAGGCACACACACACAGACACATACATACACACACACAGTTTTTAAGAGAAATATCAAATACAAGACCTATAAGAGAACACTGTTTTCATTTGATATATAGGAATATACTCATTAAGTGAGAAAATTTTGATTAGCATTTTGTAAAACTTTAGAACAAGAACAAAAAACAAAGAGGAAAAAAGTAGACAAAAAATTAATTTTAAGCAAGAGAAAATAGTAATAAAATCACTAAAAAGAACCTGGTAGTCTGGACAGGAACATTGATGGTAGGCCTGGGATTTTCTCATAGCAGAAACAAGAAAACACTCAAAAAGTCTTATAGGGTATATAGAAAAAAAGATACTGAAGCTACCTTAATGGGGCTCCCTTAATTTTAGTATTAAAAGTATAGGAAATTTTGAAGCACTGAACAAACAAAGACAAAGAGAAAATATATATATCTAGCTTACCTCTAATGTAACTCCATCCCACCAACTCCTAAACTTGTAGAGAAATTTAAGCAAGAGCAATGACCTTCATAATTTTAGAGAACTATATTTATGCTATAGACAAGATAAGCTTTGGATGACTTAAGATGATTAATGAAGATGTTATAAATCAAAACCTCGGAGTTCTACAAATGCTGAAAAAACAAAAAAAAAATTGATTTAGGCAAGGATCATAACTGCATGCATTAAAAAGTCCACTGGGTAAAAGGTTGCTGGGAGACAAGATGGCTACTGTAAAGCCAGAGGACCTTCTCACAGGTCTTCAGTGATGATTGCAAAGTGGAAACTAATTTTTATAATGGAGAAATCTACCAGTTCAGGACAGCCTGAATTTCTGTTTCCTAACATGACACAAAATGAAATACTTCATATAAGTCACAAAGTATTCCTTATAAAATTTTCACACTAAATCTTAACTTACAGCTTTTTATTAGAGATACAACAAATATAGGGTGAAGTTACAGAACAACAGAATACTAAGACAAAGGGAAAAAGAAAATTAGGGAATCCTTAAAGACTAAAATAGTCAACAGAGACACATAACTATTCTAGGAACACATGGAGAAATTAGACATGTATTTATCCTTCATTTTCAGGAAGTGCATGCTCAAGAATTTGAGGCATACATATATCACAGGATTTGGGTAACCCTTAAATAAGACAGAAAAAGGGAAACACAGAAGGGAAAAACCAGGACATTATTAAGTCTGGGAAGTGAGTGAGCCTTTAATGGGAAACAGCAAAGGACTCTGTTCTTTAAGGTGCAAGCTGCTTAACAACAGACTTCACAAGAGTCTCTCTCAGAAACCTTTCCTGACAACTTAAGAGGGGAATTGGTCAGATGTGCTAACTTTACTGGAGTAGATGGTCTTGAAAGTAGGATTTCGCCAGGCATTAGTGGTGCATGCTTTTAATCCCAGCACTTGAGAGGCAGAGGCAGGCGGATCTCTGTGAGTTTGAGGGCAGCCCGGTCCCCAGAGCGAGTGCCAGGATAGGCTCCAAAGCTACACAGAGAAACCCTGTCTCGAAAAACAAAAAAAAAAAAAAAAAAACAAAACAAAAAAAAAGGATTTCAAAAACACATTCAACAAAACTGGACTGATTTTGTCAACATCCTTAAACCCTCATCAATGGTGACTCACACAGAAACATGTATAAACACAGCTCATGGTTCCAGGCAATAGGTACCTAGCATAATATTCAGCTAAAGGTAAACCTCATTGGGACAACCAGCACATGATACTAGTTTTGAGTAGTATGTATAAAATACCCTGCCATAAGAACATTATCAGTTATGGATAATGGAACATATCCTCTCAAGAGCCAATCATCTACAACAGCAGATGTGAATTTTACTTAATAGAAAGTTTCAAAGAGAAAACAACCCGACTACATCTCGGGCACTTTGGGTGGTGCCTAGGTTTGCTCAGTGCCAGGTGGTTATTTTGGCACAAACCATAAAGACTCAGATTAAAATGGTACTTTCTCCAGTCCCAATGTATTGTCCTTTGCAAATTCATCTTTATTTAAACTTTAAAATTTGGAAGAAAGAAAAAATCAAAACAATGTTAGCCCCAATGAACCAACAGACTCATGACCTGATGGGGTCACCTTCTGCTTTCATTGACTGACAACGCTACCAGTACCTGTTCATGCTGGTTGCATTTCACTGGGGACACTGGTATTTGAGGATTAGTTTCATCATTTACTGCACACTGTGTGCCAGACAGAAAATCCCGTAGTTGGCTCTGTAAACAATACATGGTATAATAAAGGTATAAGAAACAAGAGTATTATGTTATATGATATTCTGCACATTAAGTGTCATGGATGCTCCAGTACAAAGTATTGCTTGACATTTGTGGACAATTATAAATAAGCACAATATTTTCATCTACATGCTTTTGAATATTCTCACAAATCCTTTTAAGTTGAATGATAGACAGTTACCATAGTTGGGAAGGGACATTCTATTTAGTCTTTTGCTAAATAACAAACATACCTAAATCACAACTCAATAACATTATAGCTAAGGAATTTTATAATATTTAGGAGTCCAGGAATTTTAACAGCTTATATCTATGTATGTATCTTTTCTCATCAATATAGCCTGGAACTTAAACACTATCAGCACTCTTTGATTTCTCTTTGGCTAACACTAATATTATGATATATACATTATTTAGTTATACACTTAGGTGTTTTTCCTTCTGAGACTCCTAGCATCTTCGTGTCAAGACCTGAAGCTCTAAGTTCTTTAAATTTACTGTGTGTTAGGATACTAAATTTTGTATCAATATGCCTTTTATATTGTGAAATCTTTCCTCATATTTTTCTCTGAGTTTTCATGAAAAAGTTTATTTTTCATAAAAAATTAGAAGGAATTACTTGGAAGTATTTGCCTTTACATCATTATACAAGTTTTTGTGTTTCTTTATATTTTCACGCTTTATTTGAAAAGTTAACAGACTTTTTTTGGAAACAGGGTTTCTCTGTGACTGCTAACATTTTTATAACTGGTAATTTTATAACCTCTTAATAAGAAGAAAAAAATGAGCCAGCAGGAGGAAGTTCATAAAAGTTACAAATGCAGAAACATCTTACACAGTGAATTCCTACCACATACAGGAGTTCACGAAATGTTGGACTATCCCAATAACTGCAGTTGTCAGCCTGCATCTATTCCATTTGTGGTAGAGTTCCTGATTTCTGAAGGTTGGTAACCCTTCAAAAAATGTCTCTAATTCTGACACAAACCGGAGGAAATACGTACCGCCCAACCCGAAGCTTAAAAATAACCCTCACCTGCCCCTTAGAAAGCCCTAACTTCTTATGCCCTTGACATCCAGAGGGTGCTGTTCTTCCAATTCAGCTGATTTCAGTTTCTCTCAGTAACTGGGATGCTTTCTGAGGGTACTCTAGCAACAAGCTTTTACCTGCATCTCAGAGAAGAGAGAGCCAGCACTGCTGCCCCTACACCTGAAGAGGGGGTGGGGTAAAGCAGCAGAGAAAGGATGGGCAGGCAGGTCAGGGTGCTTAACAGTTTTATAAGAAAAGAACAAGCGTTTCTGGATACAGTGAGTGGTATGAACTTTTATAATAATGCCAGCTTTATGTTTAGTGGTCATGTGTCTAAAACAACAAATGTCTGTGCCCTGTGGGGACCTCGGAGGAGGCCTCTGGCTGGTCTTCTGTATTAAACTGAAGCTCGTGGCTCACTGGTTTCTTAGTCTCAGTTTCAACAGTTAGGTGGTGCTGCGTGGCTTCCTCGAGGTTCTGAAGCAGGCGACTTTCCCACTGCCTCACCCGCTCCATGGCAGCTGCCAGCTTCATAGGGTCTCGCCTCCCGGTGCGGGTTTTGGGCAATGCTGAGTCTCCATACACGGCTGCAAGGAACTGTCGCTTCTGGCGAGGATGTTGGGTCAAAAAGGCTAGCACAGAGGGTTCATCCGCAGGAAGTGAGAAATCCTGGTAGGGCCTTAACTGCTTACAGGGCCGCTTGGAAGCCCTGGAAATCGGCTTCCTTTCCTTAGAGGCCGCTGTGGCGTTGTCCTGGGAAAGGTGTGGAGACATCAGGTGTTCACCTTCCACACTCTTTTCGCAAAGATTCAGTGCATCTCCTGCAGGTCTCTGGCTACAGCTAAGTGTAGCTTCCTCAGGAATCCTATGTTGTCTTTTTAAGCGTGGCCTCATCAGGAAAAAGTGAGCTCTTCCCGCCCGGAGTTCAGTGTAGGAAGCAGCATCCAGGCACCCTCCTTGCAGCCTGGGCGGTTGGAGCGCGTGCTGGCACTTGCTAACGGTTTCCCATCCCACGTCACTTGCATGGGACCCAGCAAGTGTGTTTTCTTTGTTAGGTAAGAGCTATCAAGTCTTGCGTTTACGTGTTACCCTTGAATTCTTTGAGCACTTAACATTTCTGCTTTCAAGGTGGTGTTATTCCCTCCAACAGGCCTCTTTTGTTGTGAATGTGCTGCCAGTGAACTCATCCTTCTCTGATAGATGGTAATCCTTGACTGGATTGTTGATTCTTTTGGTTGGCTCTTTAGGACTCTCTCCGACATGGCATTTCTCTCAGCACACGTAGGAGAAAGTACCAAAAAGGCTGTCAGTCACCGGTGCTCCCCCAAGCCTTACTAACCAGGAGTGATAGAACTGCCCCGCTTGAGAGACAGAAAACCCTGCCTGCCCACAGATAATGTGTTAATCTTGCCGAGAGAGTCCATGGATCTCTGTGCCTAAGTTCATCTGAGAGCTACACTTGTGCTGGTCATAGCTCTCTCCACATACTTTAAGTTCATGTGAAACAAATCTGTCCCAAATCCTGGACGTTCCAAGTTAGAATCCAAAGCCTTAAATGCTCCCGGATAGAGGAGGATTATAAACTAGGGAGTAAAAGAGGTTCAAGCTACCACCTTTTCAGAACTGTCTCATCTTTGTTTATCTTAGTTCCCAAAAATCTCTGCATTATTTAAACTACAACAAATAAGAAAGCATGAAAATCAGAACTATTTGGAATATTCTGATCTGTAATATTAAAGACAGCACAAAAAAAAAAAATCAACTCAAGATATATTTCATTGTACAAGTTTGTTGTTAGTGGAAATTTCCTTGGAGAAAACCTAAGTATCAGAGACAAAGTTGTTAGAATTCCCGAGTCTTCTTCATGAACTAACATCTTGGCAGCTTTGGTTTAATTTTCAGTGTCCTGCAGAGATACAGTCTTTCCCACAGCTAGCCTGGAAAGCAACCTTTACAGGCTTCACTCAACCCAATGAGGAAATGTGTCAGAGAACCTAAGAGGGGGAAGCATGGGATAAAAACCATGTGCCCGAGATTTCAGGCATGTCATCCTTTTCATTCCTGGAACTCGGTGTTTCCATGTGATTAGCCCTAGACATTAACTAACTAGGTGAGGACTAGTCAAAAATCAGCCCTATAACAAATTTTTTTTTTAAAAATCTTCCAAGATGTTGCATGTAGACACAAAAGAACACATGTGAACGTGTGCCTGAAGCTGCCCAATAACCATTTTCCTTGTCCGACTTCCTGTTTGCTGCCACCCTGGCATGTTACTACTCTGAAACAGACCATACTCTCCACTCCCTCAACTAAGGTTTAAGCAAACAGACTGAAGCAAAGGAGCTGTTCCTCCTTAAAAGAAGAGTGCCACTCCCCAGCCCTACTGCCTCCTGCAATGAGCACTGCTGTAACCATGGAACTTCAACAACTACCTCTGGCCACTTTATACAGGAGTGAATGAACTTCTTTCTCTAAATATATTTTTATAGTAGAGATTTCTATTATAATGAACCTAAATACTATCCCCAATTATCACAGGAAAAGAGCTTAGTATCTCACAAAATAAAGTAAATAATTCCTCCTAAGTCCAGCTATAGTTCTTCAGCCATTATCAACATTCACTTATTACTTTATTGGCAGACAGAAAATATTAAAATATTTTCAACACTCAAAAGTAAAACATGCACATATACAAATAGATTCTATAAGTTTGTCAATTCTACTGCAAACAAATCTAAGTGACACTAGTTTTTAAACTTATTAAAAATAATTACTATTTATTTAAACTATTAAAAATAAATATAGTTACACAATGAAGTCTATTATCTCATAGATGTTATATCTTTCTATTCTCTAATATTAATATATGGCATGTCTAAGAAGCCATTAAATCACATAAAGAACTATAACAATCATTTTATATGATACACACCAAACAAACAGATATACATTTAACAAAGAAGAAAAAAGTTGTAGACAAGAAATTTTTGATCTAATTCAAAACAAAGCTGGCATTTGGAACTTATTTCTTTGTCAAATTTTTATCTATTAAGGAAAATGTTCGTATATCAATTAACATCACAAGCCCAACAAGATTTATCAAAAACATTTCTTTCAAGTAAAAACTAGCCTTTAGGTAGCTACACTTTACATTTTAAATGATTTAAAAAGAAAAAAAAAAAAACAACTTCTATCTTTTGCTTCTACCCAGTACCATTATTACTAAAATAAAGACTATAGCCTCTACCCTCCACCACATTTTTAAGACTAGTAACTCTTATCTACCATTTAAGATAAAATTGAGCTGAACTTTAATTTGATTAAAGTGAAATTATTTTTAAAATACTTACAGAAGATATAATGCTATTCTCACAATTAGAAGTCAAGTTGCTACATTTCTCATACACATCAATCAGATCTAGCATATTACTATTCTTCAAGAAATCATCATATGTTTTCTTAATGTCTTCATAGTGGTCAACCACTTTCACACTTTCAGTGGGCAAGTTCAGTTTTTCATGTAAGAAGTATTTCCATGTCAGTAAGACATCACTGAGAGAGACTGTAAATTCTTCATTGTGCTGAAAGAGATGCAAAGAGATTCCAGAAGAAAAAAAACAGGACAAATTTGAGTGCTTAATACTTGGATGTCCATTTATCTAGTAGCTTATAATTGATATGAGATATGCAATAGCATGTTTTTATGGTAAACATAAACGTTTTGATAATTTGATAAAATAGATACAAGTAGGTAAGTTTGCATATGAAAGAAAACTGGAAAATAGGATTGGGCATGGTGAAGCACATCTTTAATCCCAAAACTTGGAAGGCAGAGACAGGAGAATCTCTGGCTTCAAAACTAGCCTAGTCTACAGAGCAAGCTGCAGAACAGCACAGAGAAATCCTGTCTTGAAACACAAAACAAAATAAAAATAGGATAAAAATATATAATCAGTGTTTCATCTCTCAAATTCCACTGTATCTTTTTAATAATAATTTTATATAATACTTTATTTTTTTATTTGAATTGATTTGTAACCCCAGAACAATTTATTGATTGTTCTACATGACAATCCCAGTTCCCACTCCCTCCTCTCCTCCCCTACCATACCCCCTAACTAACACCCTACCTATCAGATATCCTTTCTGCTCCCCAGGGAGGGTGACGTCTTCCATAGATAGGGTGTCATTAGAGTCTATCATATACTTTGGGATAGGGCCTAGGCCCACCCCTCTGTGTCTTGGCTCAGGGAGTATTCCTCTATGTGAATGGGCTCCCAAAGTCCACATCTATGCTAGGGATAAGTACTGAACTACTACAGCAGGTCCTGTAGATTTCTGAGGTTTCCTCACTGAAACCCACATTCTTGGGGTCTGGATCAGTCCCATGCTGGTTTCCCAGCTATCAGTCTTGGGAGCAAGAGTTCCCTGATGTTCAGGTCAGCTGTTTCTGTGGGTTTCACCAGCCTGGTCTGGACCCCTTTGCTCTTCACTCGTCCTCTGCATCTGGATTCCAGTTCAGTTCAGTAATTAGTTGTGGGTAAGATACAGATTTTTAATAATTCAAATATATATATTATATGTATTGATTTCTTTGTATTATTTTTGATTAAGTGGGATTCAGTTCCCATGAGCAGACCTCTGGAGTCAGGAGTCCCCAATCAGGGCCAGGGAACCTGTCCATTGTATCTTTTACTCAAAGGAAAAGGTTGGGTGCATGATAAACTTATCTAAAGTGTTTTTTAATCTCTTACTTTATATTCCCAATGCCATGATGAATTCACACATAACAAAATATATTCCATGTTCTGGCTTTGAAATTCAGTCATAGTGTTCTTATGACTTCTATTTTTTTGTCATTATTACAGAGGAAGAAATGTATCACTGTAAAACTCAGGGCCTGCAAAGATTTTTGTTTCTTCCCTGGTCCTAAATACACTAAATTATAATAACTAAGGGATAAAAATCAAGTTATGATTCTTTCTATGAGTACTCGGATGCCATAAGCAGGCAAATTTATTCTTTTACTTTTTGGCTTCTGCAATCTAACTACATGAGTATGTAGTTGATAAGAGATCCAATACCATTGCCAACAGGCTGCAGGTCAATACTTATCTAAGAATGAAAGCTTTCCTGGGTGGCCACATGATAAATTTTCACCAGACATGCTAAAGGCTTGCTTATTATTCAATGCATTTTCACCCACATAACATGCAAGATATTAATAATGGCAACTTCCAAAAAACACCAGCCTTAACTCATTAAAAAAATCCTAACTTCTCATTTTCAATTCAGCATGAATAGCAAATATACTTGAGTATCCATATGTGGGTCTGTGAAATGTAATATGTGCTGCCTTCCACGGTTAAGTTTCTTCCAGTTTCTGCTAACACTAAAACTTTTATCATAGTCTCTTTTAAAGATGGATAGGTAATTAAATAGTTAGCAACTGTTATTCTCTGGAACTGAATCTTACTTAATCAAAAATAATACAAAGAAATCAATACATATAATATATATATATATATATATATATATATATATATTTAAATTATTAAAAATCTGTATCTTACCCACAACTAATCACTGAACTGAACTGGAATCCAGATGCAGAGAAGGACGAGTGAAGAGCAAAGGGGTCCAGACCAGGCTGGTGAAACCCACAGAAACAGCTGACCTGAACATCAGGGAACTCTTGCTCCCAAGACTGATAGCTGGGATACCAGCATGGGACTGATCCAGACCCCAGGAACATGGGTTTCAGTGAGGAAACCTCAGAAATCTACAGGACCTGCTGTAGTAGTTCAGTACTTATCCCTAGCATAGATGTGGACTTTGGGAGCCCATTCCACATAGAGGAATACTCCCTGAGCCAAGACACTGAGGGGTGGGCCTAGGCCCTATCCCAAAGGATACAATACTCTGATGACACCCTATGGAAGACGTCACCCTCCCTGGGGAGCAGAAAGGATATGTGATAGGTAGGGTTTTAGTTGGGGTGGGGGGTGTGGTAGGGGAAGATGGGAGGGAGAGGGAACTGGGATTGTCATGTAGAACAATCTTGTTTCTAATTCAAATAAAAAAATCTGCAAAAAAAATATAGGTTAATTTAAGTTATAAGACTGGTTAGGAACAAGCCTAAGCTAAGGTTGAGCATTCATAACAATAAGTCTCTGTGTCATTATTTGTGAGCTGGCTGTCCCAGTGAGAAAGCACTGCTATGTAAGGCACCCAATGTGAAGCTCGAATATCTATATAGGGCCTGAGAAAGTGGTCTCTCATACAGTAGGCTCAGCATACAGAGGTGTGGCTCTTTTAAGAAGCCCTGCTGTTAAGCTGGCACTTGAGCAGCCAACATTGGGTACAAACTCCTGCTGCAGGCAGACACAACAAATTCTCAGAGCCAGGATGGATAAAAAAAAAAAATTGTATCTTTATATCTTTTATGATAGCCAGTCATATCTGTTATTTGAAATCTAGATTTAAAACATGTTTAAAATGTCTTTTAAAACTTAACTCTTTACTTATCAATACTGAGACATGAATTATCCCTATTGTCTTAGGATAGAGGCTTGTTATGTCGGGAATATTTAAGTCAACTATAATATACGAAGCTAGCTCAATGATCCCTACCATTAATTCTCAAACTTTATAAACCAGATAATTTCCCAGCACCATATCAAAAATTAGGTATTTTAATACTTCCCAATTCCTTGAAGGTTATAATCGAGTACACCTTTAAATGATATAAAACAAATTCAATGAGTTTCAACACTAAATTGATTTTTTTCAAAATTCTCTAAAATTGGTTTAGTATGACAATCCTTTATACTTAGAAAAAAATTAAGATTTCTTCCCTAAAGTCAACATACAACTTATTTTCATTCTGTTGACTAAAGATAGTTAAAGTGAAATTATGCACGTTCATGACCTTATTATATATTACTAGATTAAAAAGAGTTCATACTGGAATTGTAAAAAATGTTTTAAAGCCAAATAAAAAGGCATTCCAGATGTCAGTTTTCATTAGGTGCCCATCATGACAGAATATTCTATGATTCAAACCAGTAACAACTGACTGAAAGAGTAAGTGGTCAAATCAGATGTTTGGTTGCTATGAAAACATATGCCAGCTGACCAACGTATGCAGCAAGTTCAAAATGTTCAGTTCTTTAATTCTCTTATGGACATGAGTCATATTTCATAAGGACAAAGTGAGAAGTATAGGAATTACACTTCTTTTTCAGTTTCATACATAAACACTACATATACATTATTCCTGCCCCCTGCCCCAATTCCTCCCGTGCATTCCCAAACTCATGATCTCATCTTTATTATTTTTACATGTATATATGTGCTGGCTGGTCTCATGTCAGCTTGACACCCAAACTACAGTTATCTAAGACAGCCTTCACTGAGAAAATGCCTCCATAAAATCCAGCTGAAAGGCATTTCCTTAATTAGTGTTTGGTGGGGGAGGGTCTACCCAATTGTGGGTGGTTCCCTTCCTGGGCTGCTGGTCCTGGGTTCTATAAGAAAGCAGGCTGAGTAAGCCCTAGGAAGCAAGCCAGTAAGCAGCATCCCTCCATGGCCGCTTCATCAGCTCCAACTTCCAGGTTCCCACCCTCTTTGAGTTCCTGTCCTGACTTCCTTCAATAATAAACAGCAATATAGAAGTGTAAGCCAAGTAAACTCTTCCCTCCCCAACTTGCTTTTTGATCATGGTGTTTTCATCGAAGCAATAGAAGCCCTAAGATAGCATACATATGTATACATAACCTAATAAGTCCATTTAGCATTGTTTCAATGTAAATGTATTCAGGGATAACCACTTGATATAGGACAAGCTGAAGAAAATTGATTATCCCTCTCTTAAATGCCATTGACTGCCTGAAGCTCTTCATCTAGGGAAGAGACTTTTGGAATTTCCCCCTCATCCACATTGGCATGTCCGTGTCATAATTATGCAAGTCACATTCAAACAACCGTATTGTTAAGATTTCAGGGTGCAGTTTCCCTGTCATGCCTAAAGGACACTATCTAGAGGAATTACATATTTCAACAGCAGTTGTACTCTGATTATATATCAAAATTAGTTTATGATGGCTCTACTTTTAAATAAAATTTAAAATTTTAATTAATTTGACTTCATTTGGTAGCATTAGAGAAAAGAGCATTGGTTAATTAATTCTGTGAGCTTGGTTATGTAAGACACCCCCAACTCTGTTTCTCTGGTTACAAAATAAGATTGTACATCTGTTTTTGTCTCTTTCCCCTTTTCAGGTAAAATAATTCTTGAAATGATTATAGATAAATGTATAATTGTTAAATCTGTTTATTCTTACTTGTTACATCATCTTCAAATCTAACCTTTTAGCATGGTACTCTAATAATTGCTTTGTATGAAGTTATTAAGTGCCTTTGTTTCATGCAATGAAACATAAGTAGCATGCTTTCACCTTATATAAGATGATAAACATCCTATTATAGAATAATTGCCAGACAGATTTGAACTGTGAAACCATTTCTAAAGAGAAGGCCAAACAGTAAGTGCTCCCCAATGAAGTCAAAAATATTTGCCATAGCATGAAATCAAAGGTCCTCAATGTGGATATGGGGCAGTGGTGAGGCTTTTGCTGTGCAAGGTTGAGGACCCAAGTTGGAATACAGGCACCAGGTAAAGCTGGGCAATTAGCCCTGTCTATCATTCCAGATTGGGAAATGAAATGAACAACTGCCCCATAGCTAATCAATGAATTGTCAGTTAAAACAATGAGATTTCATCTCACATCTTTTAGAAAAGCTGTAAAAAAAAAAAATGAAATGTGTTCATTTTCCCCTTTCCTTTCCCCCCTCCAAGTATAATCCTCCACCACTTTCTTACAAAATGATGGTCTGTTTTTAATTGTTCTTAAGAGGGGAGTGTGTGTGTATGTGTGTGTGTTCCTAAATATATAAATACAACCTGTTCAGTCTGTATAATGTTACATGTATATATCTTTTCAGGACTGACCATTTTATGAAGGCCCTAATGACCTTTGTCCATTCCACATTAGCATATCTATTGGTATTGTCCCTGTTAGGGTCATGTTTAGACAGTCATGTTGGTAACTTCTGACATTTCTAGCAAACAATATCCCAGGAAAATCTGTGCTTTTGTCTCTTCCAATCTCATCATCATCTTTATCTCTCTTACCAAATCAAGTACTTGGCTTCAGAGCTTCATATACTTCTCATAGCTAGTATTTGTATTTATTTGCATAATTATTTGCTTAATGTCTTCTTCACCTTTGAATTATAAAGCAGAATTCAATACCCCAGCTCACCATTCTAACTCCAACACTTAGCACAATGCCTAGAACATAGTCAATGCTTAAAATAAAGAGCTGTGTCTGCAAATGCAGGCCTGCAACCTGCCAAGCTGAAGCAGGACTAACAAGAAAAGCACATGCAAGGATCCTCAAGGTAGGGATTTCCTGGCATGTTTGGGAAACTTAAGGGGCTAATTACAGCAGCTTGTGTAAAATTTCCTATCTCTTCCCATCTTTGCCTTAATGGTACTTCCCAGACAAAGCTTTTCCTGCTCTTAAAACTGCCACAACCTCTCCACCTCAACCCCTATTACTCCTTAGTTTGCATCTTTATATGCCCATAGCATGTATTAATCTAAAATACTTCTGTCTTGAGTTGCAGCTGCTTTTTTCCACAATATTAACTTTGTAACATTAGTGTCTTAGGGTATTAGTGGTGTGAAGAGACACCATGACCACAGCAACTCTTATAAACAAAAACACTTAATTGGGGTGGCTTACAGTTTCAGAAGTTTAGTCTATTAGTGTCATGGCAGGGAACATGGTGGCATGCAGGCAGACATAGTGCTGTAGGAGGACTGAGAGTTCTACATCTTGATCCAAAGGCAGCAGAAAAGAGTCTAAGCTACACTGGGCCTCAAAGCCCATACCATAGAAACACATTTCCTCCAACAAGGCCATACCTCCTAATAGTGCTATTCCCTATGGGCCAAGCATTCAAACACAAGTCGATGGGCACCAATTCAAACTAACACAATCAGAGAGTTCCTAAATTGTTGTTTCCAATGTTTATAATAATAAACATAATAAATACTCAACATTTTTAACAAATACATAAGATATAAGTTGCCAAATTCTTCTCCATTCAAAATTATCTATAAACTAGTTTAAATATGCAAAACTTTCAACTCTCCATGCAAAGGCAATGTTGTTAGAATTTGAATATGGAATTTTTCCCATGGATTTATGCACTGAACACCTGACCTCCAATATGTGACACTACTTTGGAAAGTGCTAGAAACTTTAGGAGATGGGGCCAAGATGGAGGAAATGGGTCACTGGGGCATGATTTGAAGGTCCCTTTCTGTCTGCCTGCTGTCTATCTTGAGTTGAGTAGTCTCACTGTCAGGATGCTATCCCTTACCATGTGCCCTGAAGTAATGGTGCAAGTACAAATGACTGAATTAAGACCTGAAAACCATGAGTTAAAGTAAGTTCGTATATCCCTTTATCTTCCTGGGGTATATGTCACAATGACAGGAAAAATAAGATAACTAACACACTATCCTTTGATGTAAGACTATAGGCATCCTAATTTGTAAGCATTAAAGTAATTTTCTTTTTTCTTTTTTTAATAAAAATTTATTTATCCTTTTAAATTTCATTTTACATTCCAACCAGTTCTCCCTCCCACCCCTCTTTGTCTAACCGCCCCCCGAGTCTACTCCTCCTCAGGCTAAGGGTTCTCATGAGGAGTCAACAAAGTCTGGCACAATAGGTTGGGGCAGAGCCAAGTCCCTCTCCCATCCATTAAGGCTGGGCATGGCTTCGCACCATAGGAAGTAGGCTCCAACAAGCTAGCTCACGTACCAAGTTTGTATTGTGGCCCTACTGCCACTGAGCATGGCATCCCACCACAGGGAGTAGGCTCCAACAAGCTAGCTCACATACCAGGTTTGTATCATGGTCCTACTGCCAAGGGTCCCTCAGATGGTCCAAGCTTCACAACTGTCTCCCATATACAGAGAGCTAAGTTCGGTCCCCTGGAGTCTCCACAGCTGCTGGTCTAGAGTTTATGAGTTCCCACTTGTTTAGTTCAGCTGTCTCTGTAGATTTCTCCTTGCTCATAACCCAGACTCAGTAAGACAAACACAGTACGTATTCACTCATAAGTAGATATTAGATGTAAAGCAAAAGATAATCAAACCATAATCCACAAGATTATGGATATATCCAGAGACACTAGGTAACAAGGAAGACCCTAAGAGGGCACATGGATCACAATGGGAAGGGAAATTGGGGGCATGGGGGTAGTAAGGGAAAGGGGAGCGAGGATGAGAACATAATTTTCCTTTTTCAAGAATATTATATATCAACTGGGTTTTTTTCTCCTTTTTCCTAAGTGGTTTTTATCTTCTGTTAATGTCTAATACTTTTTCAAAATGCACTGGTCTGTGAAATCTAGAAGTCTGGAAACTAACTACTGATATGTAAGATTAAAGTAATTCCTAAGAACATCATTTCACTATCCATCCCAAGGTACTAAAGCCAATCTACTCTTCCATAGTCACGTCAGTATCTTGATCTCCCTGAATCTACTTCAGAACTAATAATCCCCCTCTTCTAAACCCTCCCCTTCTTTTATCCCTTCCCTAAATCTTCCTCTCTTTCTGTCTAGGGTGTCTATCTAAACACAAGAAGCCTTTATTTATCACCCTAGCCTGCATTTACCCCACAACCATCTCTAGTGCAAGGTCAGTGGGCCCAAGCTACCTCCAAAAGAATCATTTTGTAGAGATTTTCTAAAAGGTAGTTTCTAGCAAGCCAGTGAAGATTGGATTGGGGCAACAACTTTGGGTTTATTTAATTTTTTGGTTGATTGGTTGGTAGTACTGGAGAATGAAACTAGCACCTCCCATGTACAAGGGAAGAATTCTATCAATGAGCTTTCTCCAGCTCTTTTTTACCATTTATTTTGAGATGGAGTCTCAAAGGTCCAAGTCATGGGCTGGCCTAGAACTCACTATTTAGTACAGATAGGCCTAGAACTTCTGATCATGCTGTCTGTCTTCAGAGTAGCTGGGTTTACAGGCCTGTGCCACAAAGCTCCAAAGGGCTAGTATTTTTTTTTTAAGACTTCCCAAATGTTTTTGATGCATAAAAGGATTTTTTGTTTGTTTTTTTGAGACAGGGTCTCTCTGTGTAGCCCTGGCAGTCCTAGAACTAACTCTGTAAACCAGGCTGGCCTTGAACTCAGAGATCTGCCTGCCTCTGAGCGCTAGAACTAAAGGTGTACACCACCACTGCCCAGTTATAAACTGATTAAGAATACATAGCCTATACAACAGTGCTGAAACTAGACATAAAATGCATTATATTGAATAAAAGGTATATGTGCTCCTCTAGAGCTTCTTTTAGGGAACAAAGGAAGAATTATTAAATAGAAATATTATATATATGTGCATATATGTAAATATATATAACCATGAGAATTACAGATTTAATGATTTATGATTTTTTCATTAAATATCAAATATACACATTCCATGTTCAAATTATACACATGAAATAATTTAATAAATCATTTCATATACATATGCTATTTTTCCCACAAAGTTCCAGAAGCAATGTTTGACACAGCCTATTATAGGACGGCAAATATTGCAAAAAAAATGATGTACTTGAGGTTCAAGTTTACTACAAAAGGCAGCAAGTAAAAATGAGTTTTAAAAAAGTTAAACTAAATATAGTTTACCAACCTGCTTGTTGTTTTCAGCCATGGAAAGCTGCAGTGCCAAGAGCATGGAGTCTGGACCACATAAAGTGGTTCTTTCAGAGTTACAGTGGGCACGCCAATTCCTCCTAAACTCTTTAATCATGCCCAAGACAGACATCTGATTGAGCACAGCCATTCTCCTAAAGTAGAACAGAACACAATGTTAAAGTGACTTGTTTTAATTGGAAATTAACATTTAACATGTGTAAGCAAGCATGGTTAGGAAGAAAAATAAGTAGTGAACGAGAGGTCATTTCATACTTACCAACATTGCTTCTAATTAAATTTAGGAAAACATAATAATACAATTTCTGCCCAATCATATTTTCTTCTACTTTAGTTTTCTTAAGCCAAATCTTTTGAAATAACAAAAATCTAACCTTCAATTTTGAATTCACATAAAACAGACATGCAAATTCTGCAAATTAAATCTGTATTTTAAGGTAGTTTTTTTTTCTTTTTTTCTTTTTTTTTTTTAGAAAAATATAAGTGGAGAATGGTGGGGGGGGGGCAGGGAGTCCTCTCATTCTTGTATTGTCCCAAAAGTGGTTTACTTTTCTACCCATTTGAATCTGAAACAGTCTTATGACTTGATGTGACTAGAAGACTATGAGATCATGAGAATTCTAAGCCTAAGCCTAAAGAGGTTTATGCAAGAGTTAATACAGCAAGGTTCTAGAGATGTAGACTTTCAGTAGTTTCCATTAAGAGTATTTGACTGTGCTGAAGTGTTTTTATAAACTATATACGTTTCATGGTGAACACCGAATTCCCTTGAGTCTGGAGGTTTTGGTGCATGTTGCTGAACAGAGCATGCCTCTGAGTCCCTGTCCTCATAATTGTCCAGCAGGTGCTCCAGCCACATAAACTTGGCTGTGAATACTACAGCGATACAGATGTATCTCAGACCTGTCCAATTTAAAAGAGGCACATGTCACTTGTGAAATAATAAATCATTGTCGGAGATGCAATTTAAACAGGAAGTAGATGACCAAAATCAGTAATCTTCATCGCTGAGTTTTCTGTCTCTTAAAAGTAACACATTTATCTCTTGAAATGAAGAGGTAATAGAAGCATGAGCTATCATCAATGACATTACTTTGCCCGAAGTAAATTTTTGGTAAAATACTACCTATTGGTATTATTTTAAGGTGGTATATGTTTAGATTTCTAGAAATAAAAATTCACTTAGAACTAGATCGCCCTGAATCCCTGGCTCTATCACACCCTAAGCTATGAGATCTTAGCCAAGTTATACCACTGCTCCCTGCCTCAACCTCCTTGTAGTGAAAATGAAAGAAGTTTGTATCTCATATAGTTTGGGGAAAAGTAAAAGACATTGCTACATATGTAGTTATATGTGGTTTTATAGCAATGCCAAGCACATTAGTTATGATCATGCATCATGAATTTCTACAGTTTTGAGTTAAAGTTGAAAGAGCATTACTGTCAGTGTCAGAAAGCCAAGTCTCATCCAGGCTTCTACAACTTTTTGAAAGGAGGCAAATACTAAATATTTGAGACATTGGGTGTCATATGCACTTACCTTTTACCTGTCATATCCACTTACCTTTATATGACCTTGTCATATAAAGGCAGCCAGGAACAACGCACAAACAAGTAAACACTGTTGGACCCCACTAAATTTTATTTTATTTTTGGACACCAAAAACCTGTTTTATGTAATTTTCGGCAGTTCAAAATTTTCTCTTTTCATTTTTTCCGCCAACCATTTAAACATGTAAAACAAAGTTTAGCTCAAGAACTGGCTATTCACAAATAGGCACCACGCTGGCTTGCCAACATCTGCTGTGGCCTCGGGTTTTCCAGGGCTGCCTAGGTATAAGTATTATCCCTTAGAAATCCGGACCATGCCTCACCCTCTGCTCTTATCTCCCAACCTGTGGTGAAGAATTAATGAGACAATGCATACGGAAAATGCAAACCCAATGAAATGCACTATATAGAGGAGTGAGGAAAGAAGAGGCAAAAGTAATAAACTCTTCTTTTAAAACTGAATTTAAGGTGAACTGGAGCAGAAGTTCTGAGACAAGAAATTGTCCCTGGAGGGTAAAGTGAGAGAGCGCAACACTGCTCAGCATCCCTGCTACCACATCCATACGTTAGGTGTACATCGTGACGAGCATAAATTTCTTCAAGTCCATACATGAGACGGTAATATCTACTTAACAAAATTATGAGGCATCAGTAAATCAAATAAACATACAACTTTCTTATTGCTGGTCCTTAGAAAATACTCCATAAAAAGATGACAGTTGGCACTGTGACCCTCCTAGTCTGGTCCTGAATGTCCCTTTGAAGGATGCAACAGCTGACAGAAATTCTGGAAATGGGAGTCTGCACGTGGCGGTGTATCTAGACAGATCCCTGGTCTGTCGCCGGGCTAAGGGACTAAAAGCGACAGCGAGCCCTGGCGACCTCCCAGGTCCTTCTGCACCAGACACAGTGAAGCTGGCCTCAGAGAGGCCACAAGTCAGGGCGGAGCCGCTGCACGGACAACACCGCTGACTGGCACAAGTCCCTTTACTGTCATCGAAACGCCTTCACGAAACAGCAGCCCGAGTTACCGCTCCCAGTGAGACCCAAGGGCAGACAGAGAAAAGGCGAGATTCACCTAGGACAGCGAGCCGGGGGTGCGAGCCCAGGGAGGAGCAGCTCAGCCAGGATGCTAGACAGCGGGTGTTTGAATGGCCTCAGCGTCCATTTCAAATCTCGCGGCAGGACCCAGGCACCAATCGCCGCGCTCGCCCTTCGACCCGGAAGCAGAGCCGGCGAGCGAGCGCCGCGGCCGCCCCCAGCCGGGAGAGCAGTGCTCGGGTCGCCTCTGTGCCTTGGGTGCGTATGGAGCTCGAGGGCTGGGGCCGCCGGCTCGGGCGGCTTCCCCGGGGACCCTTCCCTATGACCTCGTGCGGTGGGAGTGGGGTGTCTCCGGAGAGGCGTGGGGGCACACTTGAGGGACTGCCTTCCAGGGAGGCCTTAAGAATGCTGACACCAGGCTCCAGGGACCTGGCGGAGACGAATCCTTGGCACGTCCTAAACCTCTCTGCTCTTTGGACTTCTCCTCTGCTGGTCACGCGTAACACGTGTCCAGTCTGGAATGCTCATTTATTAAGGCTATCAACATGATACTCCAAAGATACTTAATGTGTTCGTTTTGCACCTAGGATGACTCCTCGTTTTAATTAACAATTTGAAATTACTCTCTTGTGGGGAATCTTATGTCTACAGTTCACACTACCTATCCCACTGCAAATAAGTTGAGGCTTGTGACTGGCGTTATAACATTGATATCACACATTACTCCAGGTCCTGTATTTTGTATCTGCTCCTTTTATTGCATGGGTTAACGCTGATTTGTAACGATAGCTGGATCATAATATCTCTCAAAGGGTCTTGGGCTCCTTGTCTCTTTAGACTGGGTAGGTGTTTACAGCTCACCTCACTTGATGGGGATTTGGCTAGAGTGTCACATATTGGAACCTTAGAAGTTATATAACTAAAACAATATAGCATAGTTTTGGGAAAGGCAAGTGCTTTCTCTAGCATTTGGGCCCAATACGTACTAAGTCTTTTAAATTCTTTCTCCTTTTATTCACTTGGCAAATTTCTTAGGCAAAATGGTAAGTATTGGTAGTAGTATGGAACTCGTAGGTATGATAATGTCAGTAAAATGCAAAACATGCCTGGTAGTAGTATGGAACTCGTAGGTATGATAATGTCAGTAAAATGCAAAACATGCCATCTACAAGTAGTGCTGTATCTCTGTTACCTAATAATTTTACGAGTCTGTTAAAAATTATTCAGCCTTCAAGTGCCAAATATATAAATATATGTGTATGTTAGTTAATATAAGCAGAATTCTCTTTTGAGCTGACTCAGATATTGGAATACCTGGCCTTATTTTGATTCTTATATTGAATGGCTAACACTGTCTTCAATTTTGTTTGTGATCCACAGTTTCGTGACATACAATAGAAGGCTATTTGGTTCTTACAACTGCTCAAGTTTTGAGATACACGATGAAGCAAGATGCTACAAGAAATGCTGCCTACACTGTGGACTGTGAAGATTATGTACATGTGGTAGAATTTAATCCCTTTGAGAGTGGGGATTCAGGAAATCTAATTGCATATGGTGGCAGTAATTATGTGGTTATTGGCATGTGTACATTTCAGGTTAGTCCACAAACTGCCCAGAATGATGGTGACAATATTTTATCAATAACAACATTTTATACAAACCAGAGCTAAACTTTTAAAAGTATGTTGCACTTAAATACAAGAAAAAAATGACTTGATGATCCATAGAGAAAAACTTTCCCAGGAGTAGTGATTGGGACTTGTGTAAACATTAAATAGGTGATGCAAATGAAAAATATGAAGCTCTTCCTTCACCTAATGATTAGTAGTGGAATATTCTTATAAAGGCTGAACATACACACTTGTAGTTACATGTGTTAGTAAGTCCAATTAAATGCAATCTAGTTTGAATTTCCCTGTTATGTGAAACAGGGTGATGCTGAAATTCTAAAAAAAAAAAAAAAATTCTTCCAAAGAATTTTAGCTTTCATAATAATATTCAGTTTTCCTATTAATTTGCTTTCACACTTTCTTGTATCTACAGCATATATGTAGAATATCAAAGTATAGAATTACATTTACAGCAGGCAGTTTATAGCCCTCTGTGAATTCTGGAGCTTAGACATGCACTTTTGAATGGCTATAATTAGCCATTAAACCTTCATTAGGTAATTAACCTTTCTTCTCTAAATGTGAGGAATATGGTGTTCACTGTGTTTTGTGAGGTGTAGTGAGTTAGTGGGTATAAAGTTCCCAGAAGACATTTGACATTGTAACCCATATGAGAATTTTAGTTGTAGTTGATATGGGCAATAACAGTCACACCCTCATATTTAATCTTCAAAGAAAAATTGCTTCCAAGAGACTCCATGTTTTCTCACAGGAAACCTAGGTTATGTGTAGGAGATGCTTAGCAGGGAAGATTCAACCCTCTGAAGTTTCTGCAATTCTTTGTTTACCAAAATAATATTTAAGAACTATATTTCTGTGATCCTTGACCTAAGTTCACCTGGACTGTCAGAATCAAAAGTCATGTGACTCAGCCAAATAATGTAGCATTGTCTTTAATAAGAAGGGCTTATTAAAAACTGTTTCTCTAACGTGGGCCACTAATTTGCAGAAAAGTTAAGCAACCCACATAGTTGAATTGCTGTCATTGCTTTCTAAATTAATAGATGTAGACATAGAATTGCGTTTCCAAATACTGATAAATACATTTAGTTTAAGTTCAGTTATGAAATAGTGGAGGAAAGAAGGGAGAAAAATTAGGAGAAGGAAAACTAGAGAAAATAAGTAATAAGGAGAGAATGGAAAATGACAAAAACGAGAAGGGAGATGCATAAAGTATTTGTATCGTTAGAAAGACTTGTCTTTATTGCTCCTCAGATTTGTGAGAGTACCAAAGTAGGCCTTACTTCCAAATTAAGGGGAAAACAATAGGGGTTTTTTTTTATTAACACATAATCAACACAAATCATATTCTATTCTTAACATTAGAGATAGAACTAAATTCGACTGCCCCTTTCCTCATGGAGTTTCCATTCTATTAAAAAATGTTTAGGGGATTGCATGACTAAGAAATGAAAACAAGAATTAGACCTCATTCTAAACCTAGTTCTTTTCTTCTTTCAAACACATTCTGTTTCCATTCAAATTAAGTCAATAATTCAGATATTCCAAAGAATTTATCTTCATTAATTTGCCCTTGGAGACCCAAAACAAATTACTTTTCTCATTTATCTGCCTAAGTGCTATTGGATGTTCCCATTCTTTCATCCTAAAACCTTCAAGCTTCATATCACCCAATTTCATACCTTGTAAGAAACAATTTGTATAAATCGAACCAATATTATCAGAAAAGAACAGTCTTCATTGTAAGATTATCAGGGAACACTAAGTACAGAAAATTTTGAGTTTCAGCAGAACAGTTTTCCGAATCTTGTGCTGTCCTTTTAAAGTATCCAGAAATATGAATAGAAATGGTGGACAATGGTAGGCTTGTTGACTTTACACATTTGTCCAAAAGTCATGAGTATACTAAGGGCCAGGAAATTTGAAAATAAAAAGTTGGTAAAGACCCTTTCCCCAAAGAGATCCTTAAAGCAGTACCTCTTGTAAAAAGCCTCTTTACAAATGACCAGTGAGGATCAAGTTTCACAGCTCGTCCCTTCTTGAGAAACAAAGAAGTCTCCAGTTGGACTTGAATGAGAGTGTTGGTTTAGGCAAGTACTTTATTTTTGTGGAGAAAATGAAACAAAAAGATACCTTAATCCTTTGAATAACCAACCTCATTTAGCAAGTATTTATTGAGTTTCATTTGTATGCCAAACAATGTTCAGATCCAAACACTGTTAAATAGATTGGACCAAGTCAAACAAACAAAAATTTAATAAAGATGACTGTAAGTCTTAAGACAATAGACTTAGAACTGGAAAGGGTGAATTATGACTTAGAAATTTTAGTACCTGAGTATTAACCTGAGTCAACACAATAGGGAGCCAAACAGAGCTAATTAAATACTATCT